CGGTATGGAGAGTACACAGACAACTGAAATTCACCTACTGCATGACCTAGCAATCACCCCGGGAATATATCCAAAAGAAGTAACATCTATTTGCACCCCTATACTCAAAGCAGCACAAACCACAATAGCAAAAACATGGAAACAACCTAGATATCCTTTGAAATAGGATTGGATAAAGAAACTGCGGTACATCTACTCTATGCAATACTATCCACCCATTAAAATGAATGAAATTCTACCATTTGCAACAAGGTGGTCCCAACTGGAAACCACTATGCTCAGTGAAAGAAGTCAATCCAAAAAGAATATTATAAGCTTTCTCTGATTTAAGACAACTTTCATTCAAAATGCAAAACAAAAAGATATATATGTAAAATAAGTATGCATTTGTAATCTCATGACATGAACAGTTCAATGTAGACTAGAGTACAAGGAAATTAAAAAAAACAGTAATATGCATATTTACTCCTGAATAAATAAGGCCCCCAATAAAATTGTTAAATATTCCGTGACAAGAAACTAGACTCTCTACTATTGCTTTACCTATAATGTCATGACTCATGTGAAGAGCAGAAAGATGGAGTGGAGACCACAGCTGAAGTACTGTATCATAAAATATAGGGGACAACAGGTAGAGGAAATAAAGGAGGGAGGAGAGGCAGGGAAGGGGGAAGTCCTATGCCTACAGAACTGTATAATGGAAAATAAGAATCAAAAAAATATTCTGTTTGAAAGGCTTTATTTTGAGAATCCTTTGGTTCTATTAAGAATTTAAAAATGATTTGCATTTAGTAATCAATTTTTTTATTTGAAAGGTAGATTGAGAAAAAGAGGCAGAGAGAAATAAATCATCCATCTAATGGTTCATTCCCCAAACAGTCACAAAATGGCAAGAATTGAGCTGATCTGAAGACAGGAGCCAGGAGCTACTTTGGGGTCTCCCACGCGGATGCAGGATCCCAAGGCTTTGGGCCACCCTGTTATGTTTTCCCAGCTCAAAAGCAGGAAGCTGGATTGGAAGCGGAGCATCCAAGACATCAACCAGCACCCATCTGGGATGCTGGCATTTGCAGGTAGATGATTAGCCAATTATTCTTCGTGCTGGCCACAGTAATTTAATTTAAATGAAATCTTTAGGAAATACACCTATATTAAAGTTACATCAGTATTTCCCCCAGCACTGATAATTCTAACAATCATCAAGGTTATGTGACCTAGACACGCTGCAAGAAATAAGAGCACCTGGATTCTATTTCTAGCTCTAGGAATCTTGCATAGATTCTACATAAATGTTAGTTTTTTTCATTCCCCAAACTGTTCCAATTTAATTGTTTCTACTTCACAGCGACTTTGATGCTAATTATATACTACTTCTTCCTAAATCACATCTCTTTTTATCTCTGAACTCATTCTGCCTGAACTTTCTCTAAAAAAGCCAGAATATATTGCTAAAAACCAGTTAATTCTTGGCAACTGATTTTTTTAAAATAAAATCTACAGTTTAATATGCTTTATATGTAGCCTGAAGGATTAATGTTTTGAGATTTGGAAAGGGATGTGGGTAAGCAAGTTTTTTTTAAAGATTTCTTTTCTTTTTTATTGGAAAGTCAGATTTACAGAGAGAAGGAGATACAGAGAGAAAGATCCAGCCGCTGATTCACTCCTCAAGTGGCAACAATGGCCAGAGCTAAGCTGATCTGAAGCCAGCAGCCAGGAACCTACTCCAGGTCTCCTACATGGGTGCAGAGTCCCAAGCCTTTGGGCTGTCCTTGACTGCTTTCTCATGCCACAAGCAGGGAGCTGGATGGGAACTAGAGCAGTTGAGACATGAACCAGCATGTGCAAGGTGAGGATTTTGCCACTAGATACTAGGTCAGGCCTAAGGTTTTGTTTCTTTTATTATATTTAATGTGTTCTGATCATGTTCACTGTGTGAATAATCCAGAAGACATTGTTCTTGATGTCATACGAAATCTCACCTTCAAGCTGAGATAACTGATTAAAACACTTAGGAATAAAATGGCATTTCTTAAAGTTTTCCACCAAAATGCTCTTAGAAGCATAGGAGGATAAATTCATACTATGTAGAATATGAAGTTTAGCCTACATCAATGGACTAAAGTTTGATGCCTCATCAAGTTTTTCTTTTATGACATTACATGTTTTTCCTATTGTTTGGAAATCGTGTAGCTTATCCAATAAAAATGGACACTCTGGGAAACACAGCATGTGTATCCAGAAGTTTGCAAACCTCTGACTCACTGCTCCAAGGCTTACTGAACACTAAACGCAAGAAGCGCACATAGGATGAATTGGGAAACGGCTATAGCTACGTGCATGGACGCAGGCTCCCTATGAGTAAGACTGCACACCGTGGACTGGCTTCCACCTACCAATTCTTTCCCATTAGTTGCATGCCATTGACATCTTTATACCTTAAACATAAAAACTGACAGTAAGGAAAATGTCATAGCTAAAAGTAGTTTCAGTTCCTTTGAGACATGTACAAAATCTAACTAGTATTTTAAGATCGTGAAACAAAGACCTTCTTTCCTTTTTCTTTTTTTTTTTTCTTTTTTGACCATGAATAGAATTACAAATTTTATAGAGGCTGACTAAGGAGTGATTTTCAAAGAAGTATAAAGCTGAGAAATCTGTAAGAATCTCGGAGCAGAGATAATTAGCTTTTCAAGTGTAAATGGTATCAACTCACTCAGCAAATCTCCTCTCTGCACTATTACCCTGTTCCCCAACAGTGACAGCTTCAAAATTACTATCTTCGGTGTAGTGGGATAGAAAAAAAGACTTTGAACTGCTGGAGGCTTAAGGTAGCTGCAGAGAGACTACAGCTGGTCCAGAATTTAACGATGCAATGGTAGCTTGGGTAAGCACACAGATTTTCTAGTGCCAAACTCTTGGCAGAAATTAATTTTACTCTCCGGATCTCTTTCTTCTTTCCCCATTTTACTTTATAATTTTAAGGGAAAAATAATATTTACATTCATAAATCTTTTACAAAAGTTAAAATTTCACCTCTGAGTAAAAGAGTACCTTTGCTGCTGTTCCAGGTTATAAGCTTATTCTTTATTCAAATAGCACATTGTGTTTTATATTCTGAGAACAACCACATACAATGAAAATAAACCACATGTGGAAGTCATCTTAATACCTTTCCTAGTTCAGATTGATTTTCCCGTGTGATTAAGCTATAAAAATGTAGACAGGGACGTAGGAACTGAGTATTATGAGCTAAACAGGTTGAGAAACTAAAGTTAACTAAGTTCAGAATAATAAAACCACCAGAAGTGAATGAGACCCTACATTCTCCTTTCTTCTTCCTCATACTATCTAAGCAGATAAACCAAGACTTTCTCCAGCTTATTGATCCAAACATCAAAGGCTGAAAACATTGCTATAAAAATACTACATAGAAATGCATATCTAGCTTATTAAACAGAAGCTTCTTTTGGATCTTCCATGTGGGTGGTAGATCCCAAGAAGTTAAGCCATCTTCACTACTTTCCCAGCTGGGTCAGAAGTGGAGCACTTGGAGCTTGAGTTAGCACCCATATGGGATACAGTGTCACAGGTGGCAGCCCAGTTAGCTATGTTAGCATCAGAATTATTAGTATATTTCTAAAGAATTATTTATTTATGTGAAAAGGAGAAAGAGATGGAAATAAAGGTAGACAGAATCTTTTTAAGGATTTATTTTATTTTTATTGGAAAGTCAAATACATAGAGAGGAGAAGAGACAGAGAGGAAGATCTTCCGTCTGATGGTTCACTCCTCAAGTGGCTGCAATGGCTGCAGCTGAGCTAATCCAAAGCCAGGAGCCAGGAGTCTCTTTCAGGTCTCCCACAAGGGGTGCAGGATCCGAAGGCTTTGGACCATCCTTGACTGCTTTCCCATGCCACAAGCAGGTAGGTGTATGGGAAGCGGGGCTGCCAGAATTAGAACCAGCACCCATATGGGATCCCAGCACATGTAAGGCAAGGACTTTATCAGCTAGGCTATCACACTGGGCCCAAGAGAGAATTTTCCACCCAATAATTTTCTTCCCATCTGTCTGCGACAGCCGGGGCTGGCCAAGCTAAAGCTAGGAGCCAGTAACTTCTATAAGGTCTCCTATGTGGGTGGTAGAGGCCTAAGTACTTGAGCCATCGTCCACTACTTTCTCTGGAATGTCAGCAGAAAGCTGGATGAGAAGCTCCTAATTTTAGTGATAAGGAAATTATGGCTTAAGTAACTTCCCTGAGATTTCAAAATAATATAGCCAGGATGTTAACCAATGCCGCCCAACTCCACGTCCTGCCTAACAATCAGAAGGAAGAGCAGCACACCAGCAGTAAGAAATTCTAATTCTAGTTCCTCTATTAACACTTTCTAGGAGAGAAGGGAAGTTTCATATTGATCGTATCTCCTGATGCTTGAAATAGTATTTTATGCCACATAATCATCCATCACAAAATTAAAATCATATACACAAATAAAGCTTTATTATCTTCTACTATATAATGAAGATAAAGTTATCTTTGTAGTTGGCTTTGGTGATTTTCAAAGTATGGTCTCTAGAACTGAGAATTCTATCAGAAACGTAAATTCTGAGGGTCACCTTCCAAATGAGAAAAACTGGTATTTTGATGTCTAACCAGGCACTTCTCAGGCAGGTGAAAATTTGAAAACTACTGTGTGATAATTCTGAGGATCACATGAGTTCAACAACATGTAAGGAGCCTGAAAAGTGCAAGGTCAGTGACATCACCATTACCACTTTGAAAAACCAAGTGATTTTGCAAAATCCAGGTAAAAATCAAACAGATCCTAAAACACTTTTAAAATAAAACATGTTTCTTCCAGATTTTTCTTTGGATAACGTATGACACACGTGGAGCCAGAGAAAAAGATGACAACAATATATTGAATGATATCCAGAAATCTGATAGCTGGGTCATGCAGTGTTCGACACAGAGATCTGACACGTTACACAGGCTCCTTACCTGACCAGTGTCCAGTGGAGACACCAGATCTGTCTGTGCATGTCTCACTTACAGGTCTGAAAACAGTCTCCCATCCGCCAGTGGCATAGCGCCAATTTTGAGACTCTAAGATGAGTGTTCGCTGGGTGCCATATGCAATCATGAAGCAGTAGACCACATGATGGAGTTGACAGCCATAGCCACAGCCTTTGTTGATATTACATACTAGCTTCTTGGCTTTGCTGCAGTCCTTGGGATTCTGCAAGGGAGAAAGACAAACTTACTAGGTGATAAAATGTTTCTGAAGAAAAAACTAAGGGGAACTACAAAACAGCAAACTTCCAGTTTCAAAGGTGTCACTGCAGGCTGAGATCTCTTCTGTATATAATCAAAGCAGATGACATCAGGAAAAATGTTAGGAAGAGTCACAGTCCTCAAAATTCAGCAAGATTTGGTTAATATTATCCCCACAATCAAGTGCTGGAACTGATGACTGTTTTCACTTCAGGTTACTAACGATGGCAGACCTCTAGGATAAAATGTGCCTGCCCCTGTTACGACCACAAAAGATGTGAGAGGAACAAGAGGGGCACAATAGGATTCTGGGAGAAAACAACCTTCTCAAACTGATCCCCAACTGGATTATGGACTCAGAAGTTACCAAGAAAGCACACTGATAACTTGATACTTGTCTTATTTTAAGCAATTTGTGAGAAATGGTGCATTTTAATAGCTCCAAAATTCAAAGGAATGAAAAACAAATGTTCACAGATTTCCTCAACTTTAGGTGTAACAGAATACTGCAAAGTCAATTCAAAGAGTCCTCATACACCCCATTACCCAGTTCCCCATTCATTCTTATATTATTTTTCATACTTTTAAAGAAAAAGAACATAAGTGAAATGTCTGCTCTTCAGTTTAGAAGTTGCAGATTTCTTATTCAAAAGAAGACTCACATCTGTATTTTTTCAGATGTTTATTTTCATCTACTTGAAGGAGCAAGAGAGAGGGAGAGAAGAAGAGGCAAAGAGATTGAGACCTTTCTTTCTCTGGCTTACTCCACAACTGCCTGCAACAGTCCACGCTGGGCCAGGTCAAAGACACCTGGAACTCCATCCAGGTCTCCCATGGGGGTAGCGGGAACCCAATCCCTGAGCCACCACCTGCTGCTTCCCCGGACGTAGTGGCAGGAAGCTGCACCTCAGAAGCAAAGCTGCCAGAACTTCCACCGGCATTTTGATATGGGACGTGGTCAGCCCAAATGGTACCTTAATCTGCTTACCACAATACCCACTTCCAAAGCTGTACTTAAGAAAAGCGCATCTACTATATGTTTTAACAGAATAGCTTAAATTAGAACCGAATGTGTTTAAATGATGAGCTGATATGTAAGAGAAATGAATGGGAAATTTATGAAAGAGGCTTAATTACTGAGGCTTAGTGTGTCTCTAGTCAAGCTGAAAAGAATATTGATACTTTCGGTTATGTCATAGGTGACTTACACACAGAAAAAAATTCATAATACTTGGTTTTGTAACGGGAAATGTTTTACATATCTAAGGTTATCTAAGACTAGGGAGAGAGAAATAAGAGAAGAAAAATGACAACTTGCAGTGAAAACAGTAAATAATATTCTGAAAAATTCAGTGGCAGGTCTTTTTACCCCAAAATAGGAATATTTTAAAAGTCTGGAAAATCCAAATCAGCCTGCTGATAAAAGGTCCAGAAAAACACAGAGGGCAGTGAGTAATAAACAAAAATGGTATCTGCCTCTGACCCAGGATGAGGCTCAACAGAAGAAATATCTAGGAAAAAGACAAGTAAATATTCCTTTTAAAAAAAGATTTATTGGAAAGGTAGATTTACAGAGAGAAGGAAAAACAATGAGAAAGATCTTCCATCTGCTGGTTCACTCCCCAAATGGCCACAACGGCTAGAGGTGAGCTGATCCTAAGCCAGGAGCCAGGAGCTTCCTTCAGATCTCCGATGCAGATGCAAGGTCCCAAGACACAGGCTATCCTCCACTGCCTTCTTACACCATAAGCTGGGAGCTGGATGGGAAGTGGAGCAGCTGGGATATGAACCAGGCACCCATATGGAGTGCTGGTGCTTGGAGGTGGATGATTAGCAGTTGAGCCAATGTGCAGGCCTCAACAGTAGGTATTTCTAAGGTAAAGAGGAAGGATTAAACACACACATGCACACAAGCAGCTCTCAAGAGGGGTAGGGATTTAATCCAATGTAAAGAAATCCTAGAACAAATCTCTAATCCGAACCAAGTCTTTTTAAATCATCATTGTTAGAGCAGCAACAAACATAAGGAGATGCACGAAAGGATATGAAAAGGAAACAGTCGTGGCGTTGTATTCTTCCAACTTGTTATCAAATAGTCCTTGTCAGTTCTCACTCGTAAATAAGTAGCATTCAGGTGACATCTGCAAAAGGCTTGCAGGTGTGTGACATCCTGAGTAAGAATACATGAAGTGGCTTCATTCCTCAGAGAAGCTTTTCTTGAATCATGCTAACACTCCCACAGGCTGGTTATTTCTAACGATGACATCTATTTGGATTGCTGCTGGTGCCACATGTACCAGCTATGCACGAATGTAGGCATATTGTTTTGTTTCACTGCAATTTTTATCAATCCTTGCCTTCTTCCTCTTTTTTTTTTTTAAACATTCCTCCTACTATACACACACACACACACACACACTTGTATGCTTTGGCAGAAGGAAGCTCAATGAGATTGAAAATATCTCCATGAATCCTCTATTGTTAAAATGGAAAGGGTTTCATGTTTCATTCACTTCTCCCTCTTTCTGCCTTGAGGGTCACTCACTGATAAGTTGAGGTTAACTTTTGTTTACTGGAAAATATGCAATACACACTAAATGCAAGGAATCTTGGAAGATGGCATTCAATAGTACAAGAAGCCCTATGGACAAATAGTCAGTAGTTAGTCAATATAAAAGTTCTAAGACTATGATAAAAGGAATAGAAAAGGAAAAATTAATTTCAGCTGGATGAAAGGGTTATGAATAAAACCATGAAATTGTTGGGTTTATTAGGCAGCATTTTTCATTATTGAGTGGGAGTCCATATTTTAAGGAATAACTGTAAAGAGCAAAGTTAAACTATAAACTCCAAAAATCATATTTAAAATGTGAGAATTTTATCTTTTTTTTCCCACAGATTGAAGGAGAGACAGAGAAGATCTTCACTCACTGGTTCATTTCCCAGTTGGGTGCAATAGTCAGAGCTTAGCTTGTCTGAAGCCAGCAGTCAGGAGCTTCTTCCAGGTCTCCTACACAGGTGCAGGGTGCCAAGGTCTTGGGTCATCCTCTGCTGCTTTCCCAGGCCACCAGCAGAGAACTGGACTGAGAATGGAGCAGCTGGAAGTCTAACTGGCACCCAAATAGGATGCCTGCATTACAGGCCAGAGGTTTAGCCTGTGGTGCCACTGCACCAGCCCCAAATTATATACCTTCTTAAAATCAGACACAACAACTGGAAGACACATTCCAGCTCCTTGCAGTAATGATAATTAATTACTCAAATTAGAAATACAAAATAAATTATCAAAATTAACTGAGACAACATGGTCTAATGAAAGAGCTTTGGATAGAGAGGTTTCCCATAAGATTTGGTCCAGTGAAGGCTCTTGTATGCACTCAACTGTGTGATTTTTGCTTTTCAAGTTTTTAATATAAAATGAAGACAAATTACTTCTCTCTACAACCTCTCTGTTCATTCACCGTTCCTTCTCAGATACTATGAAGATAAACAAGATGGCAGATGCTCAAAGTTAATTAGAATACATGATCTCATTTATTTCACAGTGGATACGTGCAGTTTTCCCTCCACTGGATGCTGCAAGCTGGCCAATTATACGTCTTTATGAGTTAACAATGTCATCTAAGATTTTTGTAATTATAATTCTGATGAAAAGCAAAGCCATCACCAGATATATAAATCAAGAAGCAACAACTTGAGATGTAATAGGGTTCTGCTGTTTTCAGTTCTCCCCCTTTTTTCTGTCTTTTTTCTTGTTTGGTTATACCATTTGGGGTATTTCTTCTGACACTCAACATAACTGAAAGCTGTATTTGCTCTCACTGTCCTAAAAATAAACACTGGGAACAATACTTGAATTCATGCCTTTTTTTAAAAAGATTTATTCATTTGAAAGTCAGAGTGGAAGAGGAAGAGACAGAGAGAGACAGCCCATCCACCGGTCACACACATGGCTGGTTGGGCTGCTCCTCTCTTCCACGCGTGGTGGAGCAGGACAGTTTGCTGGCCAGTAAATGGCCTGAATTTTTAAGAGCCTACCACTGACTAATTTTTGGGATAGATCTGGTCAACTTGCAACAGGGCAAGGACCTTGTATTAGCCATCATTTATCTCTATGAAGGCATTACATGGAGCTTTTCTGAGTCAATATACAAAACAAGTTAGCGATTAATTACCTTGAAAAGATAATAAGGGTGAGGAAGACTAAAAACCAACAGCAATTCTTAACTTTCAGCTTTGTTACAATTTCCCTTCTTTTTCCTCACTTAAGTGTGTTCCTTTACTTAATCTTCTTACCTGAAGATAAGTTATTCTCCGCTGAACCAACTCTGTCAGATCTTTGGCCTCTTTTTCCCGCCAATCACCAGCTCCATCTGTTTGACTGAGGTAGTATAGATCTGTCATAATAGATCTGTTTAAAAAAAGAAAATCAAAGATCTAACTTATTTGTACTGCCTCACTGGATTACACAAAGCCACAAGAAAAAATTCTTCATAAAGACTGACGCTCACATTGATGACAGAATCCATCTTTTATTTTCTATCCAGGTTGTACAATTAAAAAATCATTCTCTCCCACCCAAGATTCATTCCTCTAAGCACCTTTTTTTACTGTTGAGAAAGCATACTTGTTCCCCCAGGCTAGTCAGCTAACTTGTTTTCCAAAACAAATCACCACAGAAATCTGAGGTAACCAGATACCCAAAGCAATGAGATAGGCAGATTAACATGAGAACGAGAGAGAACGGGTGTCTCAAACAATCTGTCTCTGCTCAACAATCTCTCATGTATTATTTCATGTCCCTCGTAAATTTTCTCAAGTTTGCACTTGCAGTGGAAAACAGCAAAAATTTTGACACAACTGCTAAATGATGGTCACAAAATTTCTTAAGAGACTGAAGGTAAATATTTTAAGCTTTGCGGGTTGACTTTGTAACAGGAAAGCTGACATAACACATGAATTAATGTGAGCAGCTGTATTCCAGCAAAACTTTATTCACAAAAACAATGAGCCAGATCTGACCCTTGCGCTATAATCTGCTTGCTTATCCTCACCTAACCCAGTAGAATATTTGTAAGATCTTTTCATATTCTGTGTAGTATCAGTAATGTCAACTGTAACATGCTAGATTTCCTTACGAGTAAATTGAAAGAGTGCACTATGAAGAGAGACTTGAAGTACAGATGGTTTTATTTATGTTGCATTTAGTAATAAACAGTAAAAGTTGTCTCCTCTCTTTTTCTAACACCCTCCCAATGCTCATTCCAGAGTCAATTTCTGACCACACTGCACCTCCAGCACTGCTGCAACTCAGTCCCCATCTTCTCTCACTGGGTTTTACAACAGCTTCTTATCAGGCCTCCTGATTGCCATCTTTCCCTGTATCTATTCTCAAGATAGCAGCCAGCTACTGCTAAAACCCAAGCACTATTCTTTTGCTCTTAACAGTGAACTAACTGGCTCTTCATGCCAATCAGAGTCAAAACTAAAGTTACACTTTGATCTACAAGAACCCAAATAAAATGGTCTCATTTCTTATGTCTTATGCCTTGCCTTACTCTTTTGAGCCATATTGGTCTTACTGCTAACGCCTGAAGATGACAGGCAGAGTCCTACTCCAGAGCTTTCACGTTTGCTCCTCCTCGCTCTGGAAGGTTCGTTTCCCTGACATTCATTCAAATGGTTCCACTCAAATATCCTTCAAATCTTTGCTAAACATTAACTCCACCAGACCATCCTACACCATTCCACATATAAATACAACTAACCGCCATATCCATCATCAACATCCTTTGGTTTTCTCTTTCCTTCCCTATATAATTTTTACTCTAATAGTTACTACTACACTGGAATTCCTTCCACAGTTTTTTTTTAATAGTGATAATACATGAACAGTTGCTAGCGACCCTCAGAGGGCCACTCCAGAGCTCTTACTAACTTAGCTCTAAAGTGTACAGCTAAAAGGAAAGATTGTTTAGGGCTGGTTGACAATACTATGATGTACTGAAGTCCAGTCATAAAATGATCCCATAGCCAGTTTCCTGAGGGGAAGGCGATGGGTCAGTAAGAAGGATTCATTGTAACATATGCTGAAATGAGGTGCTTTCCTTAAAGGCATATAATACCTTCTTAAGTACTCTTCTATCGTAGTTCTTAATTAACTACATGACAAATCACGTATGAGCAAAGCAATGACAGTCCATGGGAAAGCTTCAGTAACAGAGAAATTATTAGAATTACACAAAATAAACAGATAACACTTTACATATATTTGATGCTAGCATTTTGAATAAAACATAATTACCAGTAAATCAAAATTTAAAATCTTGGACGTTGGTGTTGTGGTATAACAGATTAAATCACTACCTGTGATGCCAGCATCGCACATAGGCCCTCTTCGAGACCCAGCTGCTCCACTTCGGACTCAGGTCTCTGCTAATGTGCCTGGATCCACAAGCAGCAGAAGATGCTCCAAGCGCTTGGGCCCTTGTACTCATGTCAGAGACCTAGAAGTTGCGGGCTCCTAGCCAGGACCTAGCACAGCCCTGGCCATTGCAGCCATTGGGAGAAAACAGACAGATGGAAGATCTCTGTCTTTTTTCTCTAACTAGCTTTTCAAATAAATAAATCAATTGATTGATTAAAATGTAAACTTTGGCCACAGTTTATAATATTCATCCTAAATTAATAGTGGACCAACTCTGGATCATGCTTTGCAGTATTACAATCATCTGTGCAGTGCTTCAGGCGTTTGTTCAATGTGTTGACTTTGAAAATATGCAGGTCACCTTACAGTGCAGATATTTCCATTTTTACCCCTGAAATAGGGTATGGATGTATTTAACATGTGATGCTTTATCTATTTTTATACTTACTATCTTCAATATTTAAAGTATCCTATTTTATTTCATGCAATAAAATAGTTTCTTGGGGGGGATGCAAAAAGCAAATCTACAATTTATTGCCTTATGAAATTAACCTGCCACCTTACATTCTGAGAAGTTTCAACTCATTAAGCTGTTTTTCTGATTAGAAAATTGAGTCTCCCATGGACCTTTTACTAGGTAACCGATAGTATACTTCGATAGTTACTAAGGAAAAAGTCACTTTCCATAGGAGACCGAGTTGATCACGGAAATGTAATATATAGGGCTCAGTGGAAAGCATATTAAAATATTTGCTTAGTTTTATGAGCCTTTTGGCCATCCTCCACAACACATTCATTATTCTTTATATTTCATAGTTTTCATCACATTCAGATGTGGTCATTCATTTTATTTTTTCCCCTATTCATCACATAAATGTGATCACAAAATCCATTGCATTGTCTGAACATTAAATTGTATTAATACTGGAGAGGTGGTACAGTGAAATAACAAGTCTGTCAGCCAATGCCTGGTACAGGAAATAAGGTAATGCAACATGCTTTGCTTGGCTTTATATTAACTTACTTAAACAGGTGTGGATATTCACAAATACATGTACATGTGTGCATACTGGCATGTGTTTCAAACATATACACAGGAAAGACAATACAATTCATGAACTGTACTTCAAAAGCTGTTCCCTGTTCAGCCTCAAACAGGTAAAAACTTTCGTAAGCCTAATTTGGAGAGAAAAATCTTTGACATGTAAAATTGGCACTTTTTATGTTGTCATATATAGAGATCAACCCTGTCATCTTTGAGAATGAATCTAATTTTTTAGTAAGTTAGAAAATAAAGGCAGTTTTTAACATGTCAGATCAAAACTAAATCTTACCAACTAGTTACATTCATTTCACTATGTGCCTAGAAAGTACAATACACAAGCAACTGAAGACTCGAGATTTTAAAAAAGAGGGGGTAACATCAATTTTTTATGCTTATGCAGAGAAGATCTATCGAAGCAACTACTATATTTCATAATTACTAAACTTAAACTTATTAAATTATCTCCATCTCCCATCTCCTGAGACCTGTTTAGGAAGCCAGGAAATAACCTTAAACTAGTTTTTGCTGATTGAATTTTAGATGTTAATAGATACTTCAAAATTTATTTTTTGGCCTAAGACCTGAATGTAATCAAACCAGAAAGAGTCCCTTATAGCCCACTGTTGAGAAATACGGTGACATTCCTGCAGGAGCCACGGGTTTTCAGCGAGTCCATCCTTAACTCTAATCTCGTCTAAGAGTCCCAACGGCAAAATCTTTCTGTCTTGGTTTTGACTGAAGATATTGAGAAATCCAGTTGGTGAGCAATGCTTCTGAAGGCCTGGTATACAACCAGGCTAAAATTTGGGGAATACAAATTCAGGGAACATGGTCACCTGAGGATAGAATACAGATGCCTAAAGACAGTAAGAAAAACAGAATTTATACCTTGGGGGAATAAAAAGAAAAATACATTTATTTATTAAATTAAAAATCAGAATTATAGATAGGGAAGACAAGACAGAGAATGAGGAAGAGAACCTTCTGTCTGATGGTTCACTCTCCAGAACGCTACAACAGCCAGGGCTGTGCCCACCCAAAGTCAAGAGCCAGGAGTTTCTTCTTCAGGTCTTCCATGTGGATACAGGCACCAAGTACTGGATCTATATTCCACTGTTTTTCCAAGGCTATTGGCACATAGCTAGATCCAAAATGAAGCAGCCAGGACACGAACCAGCATCCACACAGGATGCTGGCATTGCCACTGGCGCCTTTACTCACTACATCATAATGCTGACCCCAATATCTTTGAGAGCAAGCATAATATGACAAATGTTAAAACCTCTGTTTCAAAAGTTGGCTAAATGTATGCTTTTTGTATTCTGTATTACTTTTTCTATTTTAATAGTCATAAATATTGCTTTAAAATAACAATTTATTTTTGAATAATATAAAATGTTTTGGTCTGCATCGATTATGCCACTAAGGAACAGACTACAAAAAAAAGTTTTTGGTTTGTACCCTATTCAAAATGTTAAACAGAAAAGTTTCCCTAAATCAGCCCAGCAAAGAGATAGAATTGTGCAAAAAAACCTCTGGGTCAAGAAACTGATGTGTTTTTCTTTTCTTTAAATAATGTAGCTTTGAAAAATATTTGTTTATTTGAAAGTAAGAGTTCCAGAGATAGAGGGTAAAACAGAGAGTGACCTTCCTTGGCTGGTTCACTCCCCAGAAGGCTGTACCCACCAGGGCTGGACCAGGCCCTCAGGAGAGAGAGCCTCTTCCAGGCCTCACACATGGATGGCAGGCACTCAAACAGGTCAGTAGTGGAGTGCCAGATCCTTAATTGAGCAGCAGGGATTAAAAACTGGCATGCATTCAGAAAACTGCACACTACAGGTAGCAGTTTATCCATCACGCCACAACACTGGCCCTGAAATGATCATTTCTTAAGGAAAATGTGACTAACGGATGAGGCTGTACTACATCTGGACAAAAGGCAAAAAAAAAAAAAAAAAAAATGTACCTTGAGTTTTGTTCCAAGGTACTTTACATTAGTCTGTGCCTTGAACAGAAATAAGAAAAAGTGCGCAAACATGACCAAGGGACAGGGAGGGAGATGAAGTTCCACTGCCTTCCTGCACGTCAGGGAGGAATTGTTCACAGCTGACCTTAGCGTGGAAAAATCCAAAAAGTTCTACAACAGAACGAGCTCAACGCTACCACAAAGAACTTATGCCAGGCGAGTGACTCCCATCCGCTTACACTCAGGGCTCAGGCCTTGCGATCCTCCACTGAGCACTCTGACAGTCTCCCCTTATCTGTACCAGTCTTGCAGGGAATAAGAATTTTGTTAGTCATCCTTATGCAAGTCTAACTAGAACCTATCAGAATCTAAAACACGTTGGGTACTTAGAAAAGTAAGTTACCTATTCTCCCTCACTTAACTATCATGCTTTTGTGCTACAGACAGTATCATAAAGAAAAAAATAAAGCTGAGAAATGCTAAATATTCTGGAATTAAGAAACAGGACTTTTAGAGCAGTATGACCCTGTTCCCCACATAAGCTGTGAAATGAGTGAACATTAACTTTAATTATGAAAAGAGAAACACACTATTCTCCCCTTATTTGTAGGAGACATTCAAGATCTTCAGTGGATATCTGAAGTTTCAGAGTATCAATCCCGATATAAAATTACGTTTTTTCCTAGACATTTTTGTGTAAGTTTAACTTACAAATTAACTGCATATGAGCTTAACAACAGTACTCTTGTGCTTTAGCACCACTGATAAAAGTAATGGTGATTGGAACACGAGGGTAGCAAGCTGATAACCATGAGCTGTTGATCTGATCCCCACGGCTTGATGGGATATACAGTGAGATTCTCCAGGCACACACAGGGACTTCTGTGCTGTGGACTTGGGGTGCACTATCCTCCTGGCACACTGATGTTTTCCACAAACTGAAGTGCTCTGAGTCCTACTGTTTGGATTTTTTGTGGAGTGCCATTACATAGGGATGAATTACATTACTTGGCACTGATGGTTTTCTCAGCTCTACTCCCAAGTCCATCCTCAGAGACCATGAGACAGGAACGAAAGCTCAGACTCTAATGACACAGTTAGTCCTTCTTGCAATCAGTCCCTGTCCTGAACCTATCTGGGACAGCACCAAGAGTCCCCTTATTAGAATAAAGTCAGCTGTCTTGAAAAAGAAAAAAATCTGGAGGCATTATCATTCCAGCTTCAAACAATACTACAAGGCCATAACAAGCATGACCAGTATGATATGATACTGGCATAGAAGTGGTCACATAAATCAACAGGATAAAAAAAAGCTCCAAATCATTCCACAGATACACAGATTAATCATCTCGGACAAGGGCACCAATGCGAGGCAGGGAAAAAGATGTCTTCAATCAGTAACTAGGAAAATTGGATACCCACATATAAAAGAATGAAAATGGATATTCACTGAACTTTGTACATCTTACAATACATTAAATTAACATGAAAAGGCTTAAACACTTAAAACTGAAATTCTTAAATCTCTTAGATTGAAACATAAGAAAAAAAAATTAAGACATAGGTTCGGGTAATGATTTTTTTTCAAAATACAGCCCAAAATATAAAGCAACATGAATAAAAATAAATAACTGGAACTATGGAAGTTTGACAGAAAATATTTTTAAAAAATTTACAATATATTTTAGTGCAAGAAAAAGTTGGTGCACCAAAAGGAAGGGTGACTTGCAGTAGCCTGGGGTGGGAGAGAGATAAGTTGGGACATGTAAGTCAAAATGATAAATAATTTCTGAGGATCTAATAAACAGCCTGGTGACCAAAAATAATACCATACTGCTTACTTGGAATTTGTTAATAGATAATCAAATAATTGGGTGATGGGAAGAATGAGATTGAGAAAAATATATTTATATGTTAATATTTATTTTGTTATGTTTATTTGAAAGAATTATGGTTTCGGGGTTGGGGGGATTTGGGGGTGGTTTTTAAATATTAGTTGTTGTTTTGTATGTATTTGGTTATTGATTGGATTAGTGTTTTGAAAGGTTTTGGTTTTTTTTATTGGAATTTGTAATAAATAGTGTGTATTTTGGAAAATTGGTGGGGTTAGATATTATTGGGAGGGGATTGTTAGGATTTTGTATTGTGTATTATGGTTTGGTTTTATTTTTTGATTATTGATTTATGGTTAGGGTTGTGAGATGTTTTGTAGTGATGGGTGAAATTTGTATATATATGGTTTTGGGGGATTGGGTTTTTGGGTTTGGTTGGAGAGATGTGGTGATGAATTTTTTATTTTTGAAGTTAGTGGGTTGGAAGGGAAGGATTGGTTTTGTGGATTGTGCTACGTAGAGTTGGTTATAGTTGGGCGACGATATCTCACATCATCTTTAGAATGGTTCATTGCTGCAATGTTTGGTTGTGGCTTGCTCATGATTTGGATTGCTGAATTCTCATTTGGCTTCTTGGAATTAAGTTAGGACCCTGTGAAGTCGTACCTCAGATTCATTATGATTTACGCATAAGACAATGAAATAAAACTGACTTGGGTACCTTTACTTTACATTTTGCTGTCAATGGAGTATCACTAACACACACTAATCATACTACATTCAAACTAAAATCCAACCAACAAAAAATGCAATGTTGATTTACATCAATTTTTTCCATAGACCCATTTACTAAATTCACTTTCTTTTTTTTTTAATTAATTATGTTGCATATGTGACACAATTTCATACGCTCTGGGATTCCCCCAACCCCTCCCCCTAGCCTCCCCGCATAGTGGATTCCTCCACCTTGTTGCAGTATTACAGTTCAAATTACGTCAAGATTCTTTCTTTGCAAACCTATATCAAGCATAGAGTCCAGCATCTTATTGTCCAGATATATTCAACGTTTTCTCATTTGCACACATAATCTTGAATTACATGAACAAACTAGATGTGGAAAATAACTAAAGAATTATGTTCAGTAACAAAGACCTTAAAAGAAACTTTAGGCCTAAAATCATCTTTTAGGGTAAAAATATATTAAGGACAAAATTATATATGGTCTAACTGTAGGTTGTTAAAAATTCCAAGACTGGGTTATGTATGGCCTGATAATTCAATGTTTCTTGAAATCTATGCTATCATTTCTCTGTAGATTCAGTTATATTAATATTATTCCAGTAAACTAATAGATTTTATATGTAATTTTATTTAAAATAGCCAAGCAATTTTTAAAAATCATTAAGATTTCTGATACTGTTAACATTTATGAACCCTTTCGCCCTTGTTTGTGTGGGGTTATTCTCTTCACTGTGGCAGACTTTACTAATGCAATAATTTTCCTTTTATTGTTCGCTAATGAGACAGTAATTGCCATCAGAATCCTACGGGGAACACAGGCTTTTAAATAGGAGAGACCTAAGTATAGGTCTAAGTATAGGTACTTTTAATGATTCTCAGATACATTTTATTTTGCATGAACACATTGTCACCAAAAGGTTTTGTTTTCCATGCAATATAAACCTCATAGTATTAAATGTGTAAATAGGAGAAACAAAATTAATTAGGCATATTTTAAATTCTTTTCTCTGGAAATAAATGGAAGAAAAGTCAATAGAACGTTCCTTTTTTATCATTTCTGTTGACCTTTTCTGATAAGTCCTTAAAAGTGTTAAAGGTTCTGCTGTTGAAATGAGAAACAGTCAGTAGCTGCAGCCCAAGTTCTAGGCTTCCAACACTAAGCACAGATTAAGGACATTCACAGCACAGTATTTTAACATGCTCCTGGGGACACCATTACCCTCAGGATTTCTTAAGACACAAAGATTTATAGAACATATTTTAAATAATATTTTCTGGTGATACATTTTGGTTGATCATTTACCATTAAGCAGGGAAATTCATAACAGTTTGAGTTTCCCACTCTGGGTTATAATTTTCACTGAAGCCCAAATGAAATGTAAATGGAGAATAATACCTTTCATGATCTCCTAAATCTGCAAGAAATTCATCTATATGTCTTTGGAGTTCATTTCCTTCTAAATTCTTTAATTTCTTCAATTCACTCTGGAGAAAAAACCAGAGCTCTTTAGCTCCGTTTTCGATCCTCCTCCTCAGGACTTCGTGATCTTTCCCCAGACCTGCAGTAGGACAAACACCATTTAAGACATTTTGATAACAGGAAACTTCTAATTATTTACGCTAAAACAAATATGTTAGAAGAGTGGAAAGCACTGTGTAACTACCTACCATTTCTGGTTTGTCTCTTATAATTTTCAATCTGTTCTTTGGCCTTAACAAGTTGCTCTTCTAAGACACGTACCCTTCCTGTAGCTGGTCCCTGATCAATAGGGCCTTCTGGTATCCTGCAGTTTAGAGAATAAAATTTTAAAATTTAACTTAGTAAATTATGCAGCAAAATAAAATTTTACTTAGCTAAAACATGTTTCTTTAGTAAACCAGCCTGTAATTTTTATACAGCACAAAAGATACACCAAATGAATTTTTTCTTCAAAGGTGAAGGTTTAATTATAAACACTGGAATTATGCAGAGCACAACAGAAAATAATGTCACTCAACAGAGACATCTGATATCCCACAAGTTAAAATGTCTTTATAGTTGTTTCTTGAAAACAACCATTATTTAGAGTACTACCATCAATGACAAAGTGATCAATTCTTCATTAGTGTTGAGAATAAGCATGGTGAAGGAGAGCACTAAAGAAAATACTCAAAGGGAATAGCACATTATGACATGTTCATATAGCAAATATAAAGCCTTTTACAATAACCACAATATAAATTTGTGTTTCAGTTCATGAATTTATGACTTTAGATTAATAAGAATCAGTTTTACAGAGAACAGAAAGACAAAAGTAGAAGATAAAATGTTAGAAAAAAGAGATTAGCATTCCGTTCTTTTCTCTAAGAACAAAAATATCAGTCAATAATATAAAATATTAGAACACAGCAGACACATCCCAGGCTCTTTTGTACATACCAGCACCATCTATCCATTCAACATCTTTATAAACTATAAAGTCAGAGTTACAGTGATAGAGTGAGAGAGAGATCTTCCATCTGCTAGTTCACTCTCCAGTTGGCCACAATGGCCTTGGCTAGGCCAGGCCAAAGCCAAGAGCCAGGGGCCAGGAACTTCATTCAGGCTTTCCACATGGTTAAAGGAGCCCAAGCGCTTTGGCCACCATCCACTGCTGTCCCAAGCATATGATCAGCAAGCTGCATTGGAAGTGGAGTAGTTGGACTTAAACAAGAGACCATATGACATGCTGACATTGTAGGCTGCAGCTTAACCAGTTGCAACCCAACACTTGCCCCCACTGCAGTCCTCTGACAACAAAACTAAACTCCTGCAGAGAACCAAGAATGCAGACACTAGGGATCATCAGGTCCTAATTTCTAAGCTTCCCTCCAGTGCAGTACATTGCCCTATTTCATGATTGCAAATCAACCTCTTACTAAAATCAGCTCAGTGAATTCAGGGAGTGGCATCACAGGTCCTACAAAGTCCTTAGTCACCAGACTTACAATGTCATTGATTTCCCCCTTAGCTAACATCATAATGTTGGGTTTCCTCTTGGGGGTTTTCTTCTCCAGGAACCATAAGTCCAGCAAAATGTAATTGGACCATGGATACAGCACTTGCAGGATGAGCAGAATGCACTCTGCTGGCATCTGAATTCCCTGAAGGACATGATTTGGCTGACCAGTCAAAGGATGTCTCTGGTTTGTCATGTTCACAAGGTGAGCACGCACCACTAAGCCCCAAATCTCACTCTATGAGAACTCTTACACAGAACCCCCTGAGGAGCTAAGGGAATTAAAGACAGTTACCCAACCGCCTGTGGGGCTTTGCAATAAACACCTGCACTGTCTTATTGCATGCCTGACAGGCAGACCCAGCCTGGGGGATTGTCCATAACAGTATATGGTTTCAGCCCAAACAAAATCCATTTCAAACCTCTGATCTCCCAAACCATAAGAGATAAATTTCAGTTGATTTTAGTAACCACATTTGTGGTACATGTCAGAGCAGCAACAGGAAACTAATACATACATACATGCATATACATCCTGTTCCAAATTGTTGTGAACAATCCATAATGGCTGATTTTTTTTTTTACTTTTTTTTTTACTAAGATTTATTTATTTATTGGAAAGTCAGATATACAGAGAGGTCAGATATACAGAGAGGAAGAGAGACAGAGAGGAAGATCTTCCGTCCACTGATTCACTCCCCAAGTGAGTGCAATGGCCGATGCTATGCTGATCCGAAGCCAGGATCCAGGAACTTCTTCCGGGTATCCCACATGAATACAGGGTCCCAAAGCATTGGGCCGTCCTCACTGCTTTCCCAGGCCACAAGCAGGGAGCTGGATGGGAAGTGGAGCTGCCTGGATTAGAACCGGTACCCATATGGGATCCCGGGGCATTCAAGGTGAGGACTTTAGCAGCTAGGCCACACCGCCGGGCCGGCTGATTTGTTTTTAAAGTAATTTAATTAAGACAATTTGTATAAACATACTTAGCACACTGTTAACAAACATTATGGAGGTTATTTTAGCCTTGTTTAATCATTTTAGGGATGAGCTATGATCTTGAAAGTTACTAAGTATCTATTGCTATCATTGCAATCAATTTAAGAGAACTTAATTTTTAAATTGTAGATGACAGAAATTAAATTCAGATGTTAATAAAGTCCTGTGGCACACAGACTTTGATACAAAACAGACTTTTCTAAGCTTTCATTTTTTTTACATAACTGATGAAACCAAATTAACTATTAATTCCTTAAAATATTTCAGAGCAATGCTTGGTAAAGAAGTTATTGTTACAGCTATGTTGGCATAGCTAAAAGTACTTTATAATTTCCTGTGGATTTAAATTCATTAAATTCAAAAGGAGCATGAAAAACTACCATGCTCCAATCATGAGTATCCATGAAAAATTACCATGTTCCAATCGTGAGTATCTGAGGTTGGAGAAAACGAATGGAAAAAGCTTTGTTTGTATAAGTACAAACTGAATAATGATCAATATAACAGTTAAGTGTATGATTATCCAATTTATAAGCACATACTTATAGATGTTCGCAAATGAAGCATGTCATGAAATAGTTTGTGATAAATATGATTTTTAAAACTCAGTTCTTAATCTCAGCATCAGATGGCTAAGAAACAATTTGAAAACAAATTATTTCTGTAGCTTTATTTTAGGAGCAATATGGCAAAGGCAGAAAATTCTTTTTTATAGAATACATTTTAGTTAAAGAAAGTTTCAGACAATAGAAATATTATATGTACATTCTCCTTATCTCATTTCTTCACATAATGTTGGAATAACATCAGAAGTAAAATAAGTATGAAAAATCAGCATGTGATCTTTTCAGTACACTTCCACTGAGTACTAAATCCAATTTAATTCTAATAAGTCATAATGGCACTAGTGAATTGCACATATTATTATGTATAATATAATCAAAACATGAATAAACTTTAGATAGAGAAAAGCACTGGAGAAGTCAATGTAAAACAAAAAATCATGAGAGTTGCTCATTCTAAATTCTGTTCAGGAAACAGTCTGTGTGAGCAGTCTCTTTGCTGATTACTTGGAGAATGGAATATTCTCATTAGTCACCATGCAAAAGACAAACGGGACTTTTACTTCTGACCAAGATGTGTTAAAAGAGATCAGATTACCACCCTGCCTGGAACAATCCAAGGTACAGAGAAAAAGTAGGCATCAGTCAACAAAAGACAGTCCTCTGCAGAGGAGAAAACAAAATGAGAGCCCTGTGGCCACACGAGATTACTGCCCTGAGGGAGATTCCAGACTAGAGTACGGAGAAAGAAATCCATGCCAGTCTTGGTAAATATCATGAATTAAAGAAACCATCGAAGCATCTAAGAAACAAGACACAGCCAGGGTACTGCAGAGGACAGAAGTTTACAAAGAACTCCAAAAATCTGCACAGGTGCCCTGTGAGTCTAGAGTACTGACCGGCACAGGCACATCAAGAAGAACGTGGCAAGGATGACCTGGCATTCATGTGGGTCTGTGTGGGAACAGTACCCGATCCTATTAGGGTGAAAATACACTGCCGTTGGCAGCAGTGTAGGGTAGTACAGCCACTCCCCAAATGGCCGCAGAGGCCAGAGCTGGGACAACCCAAATTCAGGAGACCAGAAGCCACATCTAGGTCTCCCTTGTGAGTGCAGGGTCCCAAGGTTTGGGTCATCCCCTACTGTTTTCTCAGGCCATTAGCAGGGAGCTAGATGGGAACTGGGGCAACTGGGACACAAAATTGCATCCATTTGGGATGCTGGTTCCACAAGTGGAGATTTAACCTGCTACACAATGGTGTGGGCTCAAATTGCTCACTACCAAGTAAGAGGAGAAAAGGAATAAACAGGTAAAGATAGGGAAGCAAAACCACAAAACTCAGCTCAGGATTACTTTAGAGTAAAAATAAAACATTTATGAAGCTGAAATGCAAGCAAATACTAAAACAAGTTACTTTTAAAAGATCCAGTTGACGTACTTGTGACAAGTCCCTGTTTTACATTAAAATATAAACAACTTTAAAGAAAGTAAATACTCAAGGTAAGGTTTAAGGAATTCAGACACCCTCTTTCAGACACACTAAAGTTATAATAAATGTATAACATTAGGCTTACGATCAAGCCACTCTACTTTTAAAACTTATACATTTTAAAGAAGTTTTCTACACATAATATTTCCCAAGTCATAATTAACTTACATCATGTATTTAAAAAATACTAAATATTCTTTTTTGTGAGAATATCTTCTGGCCTTTAGATTTATAGCACACTACAGAATTTTTATCAGAGCTTATAGACCAAATAGATCTAATAAGCTCTTATAAATAAACAAGCTAATCTCACTACAGCAAATGTTTCAGATCTAAAGTTCAAAGGGAGGGTAAAGGTCCTGGTGTGATGGCTTGGTGGCTAAATTCTCACTGTGCACACATAGGATCCCATATGGGTGCTGATTTGTGTCCCAGCAGCCCCACTTCTCATCCAGCTCCCTGCTTGTGGCCTGGGAAAGCAGTGAGGATGGTCCAAAGCCTCGGGACCCTGCACCTGTGTGGGAGACCTGGAAGAAGCTCCTGCATTCTGGCTTTGGACCAGCCCAACTCTGGCGCTTGAAGCCACCTGGGGAGTGAACCAGCAGAAGTAAAGTCTTTCTTTCTGTAAATAAAAATAAATAAATCTTTTTTAAAAATACAAAACAAAGGGAGGGCAAAATGACAATGCTGCGATTACCAGTTTATTTCGTACAGTGGAATTCTTAAAACAAAAAATTGAAACACATGTAAACT